GTTCTAACCATGAGTTGTTTTGAGTGTTCTGCTACCTCACTCTATCCTTTGAGACCGGTAAGAGAGGAAATATAGTTACCATGGATCCAATTGCCCCAGTGACAAGTAGAGCTTCCTAAATGGGATGGCAGTTTTAAGATGCTAACAGACATACTAAAATATTACTTTCACTAACTCCTCTACTGTCTTCCATTTTTTAAAGAAGTAAAGGGAAGGGATTTTGATATTTACAACGGTCTGAATTGGGGTTTTGTGCCAGTAGTTTGACAAATCAGGCTTAAACACATATCCTTTGGCTACTGATTTGTATAAAAAGATATGAGCATTTCCCCCTTGGTTTGTATTATTATAGACACACAGTAAGCAAAATCATCTATTTAATAGTAAAATCACTTGTCCTGCTAACACATCCTGGACACTATAGCTTCAAGTTTAGGTAATGTGAGTTGCACCACTCCAGAAAGACATTTTCAATAGTGTGCACAGGGATTTCACTGGAAGTTGAAGTTATTTCCTGCAAACAGGAAGTGGAGTGTTTTCCTGTGGGTGCTGTGGTTTCTCTTGCTAACATCCTGTCTTGGACTATCAGAAAAGAGCAGGCACACTGACCTACAGCTTTGTCAGGGTTTTTTCTTGTCCTCACATTGTCGTCATCTGGACATTATGTCTTATTAACCAATGGTTAGTGCTTCACTCTGTATCTCAGATGAATTACCTTTGATTTGATTTTAAAATATGTCTAACACATTTGCATTCGCTTATTTATTGACCGATTCCTATGTTCCAGAGGAAAATAGTTGAATTTTGGGAATTGGTGAGTAATGCATCCTTGCACCACAGAATATGACTCAAGTTCTGATAAAGAGCTTCATAAACCTCCTCATCTAATGACTCACAATTTGACCTTTGATCCATCTAAGACTGTAAACGTGGACGTAACTCATAAAGTACATTTTATTTAAAGAAAGTACAAGTAAAACAACATGACTAACACTAAAATACAACTGTACTGGACTTTTCTGTTCAGACAGGCTGAATAATGTAGTATTGCATCTGGCGCTTAAGTGAATTCAGAAACCATGCACACATGCAATTGCTTACATCTACATAGATTATTCCGCAAAACCTAATGCAATAAAAAACCACTAGCCCCTGTATTGTGTATGACATCCGATTCACTCCAAAATATAGGCATCAAAACCAGAAGAACATGACCAAATTACCACGGATGGTGAGAAACAGGCATAATGCAGGTCACAATTCTCGGTGCCGCAAACAGGCAATTGCACTAGATGTTATGTGACATTTGCTGTTGACCTTTACTGTAAGAGCCCTATCTGCAAAGTTTCATTATTGTCATTATATTTTAATGACAAACAAACATGTTTGGTCTAACCTTATTTTTTACATCTCACAACAATAAGTTATTCTTTTTGCTTCACCTCCTATTTTCACATCTTATCAAACATCATTGGACTGGATTAGTCTTTGAACAGTCTCAGGGAGTTGTGATCTTCTGTGCTTGGACATTGTGTTACGGTGGGCCAGGCAGGGCCAAGTCTGGCTGGCTGCAGTTTGAACAAAGAGGCCCTGTATGGTTAGGTCATGACTTGTGCATTTGCGTTTGTGTGCATGTGTTTTGTGTGTGTGTTGTGCATGAACGTGCACAGAGCAAGTACACATAAGTGTGGTTTGATTGGCGTCCTTTGTTTCTCAGCACTGGGTCTTGCTGGCCAAGTCTGACTAATATGGCTGTGTAAAACACTAGGCTGCCGTCACTGGTTCCAACACCAGGCAAACCATTGTTTCACTCGACTGTGTGATTTCAGAGATATGCATAATCCTTTGTTTCTGTCTCTGTTTTTATTAGTTTTACTTGAGACACTTGTGTTTGTTTGTGTTGGCACACTGTAAGTGATCTTGGCTTGACATGAGTTCATGCATTCTTATAACTACAACGCAGATGAATTAACCAACCTGCATTAAACACTTATCTTCAGTTGAGATTTATCTACTCCACAATGAAAAAATATTTAAATGGAATATATTATAAATCAGAGACATGGATCTAAGAAGAAAGTGGAGACAGAGAGGGAAGGGCTATGACACTTGAAGAGTGGTGATATATCCTCTGCGGAATGTGAACACTTCTTTCGAAAGTAAAATTGAAGGGTTGAATGGAAAAAATCTGTTTTGTTGCCCTTTGCAGGCTCAGTTTAAAAATGTTACAAAGTTTATTTATATCCATGTTTTGAGTAGGTGCCATTGATTGCAACCAATATCATTGAATTTATTTTATATTTATACTTCATTAAAACTGTATTCATCTACAAAAACAACATGCTAGGTATCTGCTTGATGTGCACATCTTAATGTGGAAATAGTTTCCAATTACCAAAAATTCATTGAACTGTTCTAATGCAATAACAATCCACTTTGTGGGAGCACATTTCAAATAATTGTGCATCAGTCAACATGTATTTTTGCTACTATTACTATTTGTAACTATTTGTTATCGTACATCAAGTATAATTACATCTGCTTAAATGAGAAGCCCTGAAGACAGAGAAACACAGAACTGTTTTACATTGGTCATTGACAGGTGCAGGATACATCATAGTTGCTGGTTTAGTATCTGATCTATTTGGTCAACATGTATAAAATATATTAATGTGGTGCTAAAAGGTTATAGGTATTGTATAAGTAAGAGTAGGTTGAATTCAAACAAAAAGTGTTTACCTATAATTACTGGGTGCATGAGCAGTCTTACTCTACGTCTCACTCCCCTATCTCCAACCCACAGTTCAAGGACATGACTACCTGCATTCCTGACTGTCTGGTCACATGAGTCCCACTGTACTGTTGTTTTCTCATGGCACAGTCTCACTCTGTCTGCATGCACTACTACATTACTGAATGGATGGATGAATATATCACATAAACTTTGGAGGAAAGGATGCGTTTGGGAATGTTTTGGGGGGAGCCACTGTTAAATAGGTCAGGGTCCCTCACACAATAGAGGCATTACTGTGGGAGTTGTACAGACAGATAGGGGAGCAGGATGAGAAGGAGGGATAGAACAGGGACACCCAAGCCCCGGTCTCCAATTATGGACATAAATAACCTCCACACACTGCTGCCATGGAAATAAGGTTCAAAGGGTTAACAGTGTTTTCATGAAGTTCAAGGCCAGGTCGTTGTCATATATTGTAAAGTGAGTCAAAGAGAGAGACTCTTAAGTCGGATTAACACACTGTTCGGACCGGCCATTATGATTTATGGCCGGTCAGTCATAAGTGTCTAGATTTGACTATAAACCCCTTAATGTAAATATCCTGGGAGAGTTCAGTTTCAATCACCATAAAATTGCACGTCTCTTTACACTGGCATTGAGGTAACAATTCCTAAATTATTTGAAATGTGTGTACTTATTGTTTTTTTTTACTTAAAAATGAAAGAAATCTGATGGCAAGATTTAAACAGCAAGGGAAAATATACACCTGTTTAGTGCCTGTTTTGAATTGCTCTAAATGGGTCTTCTGAATTTTGACTAGTTACCACCTCCTTAGCTAATGTCCTGAGAATGACTGCACTTTTCAACTGCTCTGTGTCCACACACTGATCCTCACATGATGCATGTCATAGCTCTGCATGTAATGGCATTTCAAATGACTATTTACAATATTTGTCAAACTTAGCCAATCAAGTATTTAACTGGTATCAATAGTTTAAGTTTAGTTTATGATACTTTGACTTTTTCCTAGAAAGCAGTCTTGCCATCCCAGTAAACACCAAACACTCTAATGCATCTAACTCTGCAGTGTAAACCTTCTGTGAAGTGTATATTTAGGAAAGGGAAGGTGACAAAAATAATGACCATAATGATGTTGAAGATGATGGGTGAGACGATTGACAACTAAGTGATGATAAAAGAGAGCTAGAATGGGAGTGTAGTGATGATAGGGTGGACAGCTGAGCTAGTGTTTTATTTTGATGATAGTTGATAACAGAAGGGTTGCAAAATGAGCACCTCTCTGTGTGTTTAGTTGTTTATCTTTTCAATCTGGCAATTTAGTCTGTGCTCAGCAGTCTGGGACAGACAGCTGTACCGTCACTCCCTACAGGCAGATAGTGGGGAAATAGTGTTTCCCTCATCATTTGGAGAAAGGCAGCATAGAACTGAAGTCTATAATTAGGGGATTATAAGAGTCTCAGAATGCTACAAGAACCTAATAACTTTTATCCTTCTAATGCTGACTATTGATGCAACGCATCACTGGCAATCAATGTATATGATAGGTTTTAATTAAACAGATTGAAAAGCCAACAGGTGCCTTTCTGTGGGCATTTTTATTCAGTGTGCAGGTAAGAAAATCAGATAAGCAGCCTATTTAAAACCAGCTCCCTTAGGTAACACATCCTGAAATCATTTTTAGTCCTGCATAATTTTCAATCAAGCAGATGTTGACACATATGTCTTTTATAATTGTTCCACATGTAGAATTTAGCAACTCCATGCATTATTCCTGCAAATAAGCGTCAGAGGTTACTCTGCTGATAGCCACAGAGCAAACTCTTTCTGCTGAAACTGAACTGAGTGCAGACACAGCTTGTTCGCTTGTTGTTTTAAGACCTTGGATCGCACGGACTGAAACAGATATTGGTCATCTAGTGGATCAGTTGGATCTGGTATCGGGAACAAAGGAGATTCAAATTGCTTGTTTGTTCTCTGCTTACGTCTATGTGTGTCCTACACTACTATCTACAAGACTTTACATGGCTGTCACATAGCCTAGAAGTGTTTATCTATCAGAGAAGATAGATAAGCTACAAAATAACATATCACTATCAGAATAAAAATCTGAAATGATTTTCAAATGATTCAATATTATAGTATCTCCAGAAAACTTACTATACCATTTAAATAATATGTTTTTGTCTCCAAGGAATGTTTATGCCGAAGTGAACTGACCGTGTTGTTTTTGTGCCTTGTGTTCCAGAGTGCAGCCATGGAGGAAACTGTCATTTGGGAACAGCACACAGTGACCCTGCACAGGGTGAGTTTTTATACCTCTATAATCCTCCCCTCCCTCTTTTTCTCCCTGTCCTATACACTCTCAGGCATCATAATCCTGATGTACGTCTGTTTCATTTTTTCCCCCTTCACTTTTCACTCACTGTCAGTGTTCCTGGCCCTTGTATCAGCCCTCTGCCTTCTGTACTGAGTGGGCCAGCTGTGGCAGCAGGATGTGTGGTAATGAAACAATAGTCAGTGAACCCAGATGGCAGGAAACAATGCTAAGGAAGACAGAAATCAGTGTGTGCTTCCTTACTACTTCATTTCACCTCCTTCCTGGGGCAACATATTCTTCTCCTTAGTCCAGAGAACGACAGGAGGGGGAGGGGAAAGGTTTGGGCCAATGTACTTTTGGTCCAACATTTTGTCACATAAAGATATAATAAAATCATTTACTTTTTTGGTTATTTATATATTTTAAGATAATTGAATGTAAGACAATGCCCAAACAGTAGAATTTTGTATTAATTAATGTGCCAAAGACCCAGAAGATTAAGATTAAGATGTGTGGATTACCTGTATCAAATAAATTTATATTAATCTGGTTACTAGCTTCATGATTGAAGCTCAATGTGACTTGTGTCCTTAAAGTTGTTTGTAAAGGGAAACATGAAACATCATTTATGAATTACGATTTAATGGTATTGTACATGCTGTTTCAGAGACAGTATGTGTATTGTGTTTTGTGTAATAAAGTGCCTACTCCAAAACCACATGGTGGGTTATTCATGATCTAAAAGAAACTCTGGCTATAAAAAATGACAGCATGTAGTGAACTGTAATTGTACAATGGTTAAGAATAATCAACTCACTCCTTCATTTTGTCAGAAAGGCTGTCAAACCATATGGTTTTAAAGTGATGGCTCTGGTCTCTTTTTTATTTTTGTGTTTAGGCCCCTGGATTTGGGTTTGGCATCGCCATCTCTGGTGGACGAGACAATCCTCATTTTCAGAGTGGAGAGACATCCATTGTTATATCTGATGTGCTGAAAGGAGGTCCTGCAGAGGGACTTTTACAGTAAGTGGTTGTCTGATTGAATTAAGTAATTTAAACTGATAATTACATTTGTAATGTCAGATTAAGATATGTTGGAAGCATGTACATCAAAAGTTAAAAATGAACCTTGAAATGACTTATTATTATTGTTATGTGTTTTTTAGGGAGAATGATCGTGTAGTGATGGTCAATGCTGTGTCTATGGACAATGTGGAGCATGCCTACGCTGTACAGCAGCTCCGAAAGAGCGGCAAAAATGCAAAGATTGTAAGTTGGACAAAGACTGTAGTTATCAGCCCTAATTATCGTAGGTGTGAAATGTATTTAAGTGACCAATGTAAGTGTGTTTGTTAAGTTACATTTTTTTTCTTTCATGAAGTGCTTCGCATTGTGAATTGTTAATATGATTTGTGTTATCCAAGACTATTCGTCGGAAAAGGAAAGTACAGATCCCTGTTTCGCGGCAAGGTGACAGGGAAACAATGTCAGAGCATGAAGAAGACAGTGAGGAGGCCGATGCTTACGATCCCCAGAGCGGGCGTGAAAATGCATATGGAGCACCTGCTGGAGGCACAGGCACGGGCAGACGTCATGATCATGAACGCAGCAGCAGTGGCAGGAGAGATCACAGTGCCTCACGGGAGAGGAGTGTCTCACCACGCTCTGATCGCAGGTCACAGACCTCATCTGCTCCACTTAGGCCGTCAAAGGTCACCCTCGTCAAATCTCGCAAAACTGAAGGTGGGCAAAATACAATTGTTAGTAAAGGATGTGAATAATATTTGAAATTTACATTCACTTGCACTAACAAAAGACGAGAAGATTTTCTTGTAAGGAAAAACAAAAGTTGGTATGTGACATGGTATAAGTATTGATGACTGATTATTGACTGATGTTTCCTTCCTACCTCAAAGCAGAGTACGGACTCCGACTGGCCAGTCACATTTTTGTGAAGGACATCTCCCCTGAGAGCCTTGCTGCGAGGGATGGAAACATCCATGAAGGAGATGTTGTGCTTAAGGTAAGAGAAGACCATGATAAAAAAATGCTGTGACATGAGTAATAGTTATGACCTGTAATGTCAAGCATTTTATTATACCTCAAGATTGTTGAGTTGAATGTTAGAGCTGTATTCTGATAGTCTTGATTTGTTTTCTAAAGCGGAGTTGCAGTCTAGCGCAGAACAAACTGTTAATCTAAACATTACAGATAATTGTTAAATTAAATACAGTCTATTCTTTGAGGAAACAACCCCAAAAAAATAGACTGTATTTAATTTAACAAGTCAGAGGCACAGTTTGTTTTGAAATTCTGCAACAGTGACAACGTGTCTACTTGTTTCTTTTGCTGACGAGCTTCTTTCCCTCTGACAGATCAATGGCACGGTCACAGAGAACCTGTCACTGATAGATGCCAAGAAGCTGATCGAGAGGTCAAAGGGCAAACTGAAGATGGTGGTACAAAGGGACGAGCGTGCCACACTCCTTAATGTTCCTGATATGGATGACAGTATCCCGTCAGCCAATAACTCTGACAGAGATGGTGAGACAACAAATACAATTTTTGGTTAAGATATCATGGCCCTAACTTACATTTTAAAAAAATATTGAAATATTGATATATGAAGTCAGATGTGCTATGATTTACATTAACATAAAATCATGAAGTCAGATGTGCTATGATTTACATTTTAATTTTAAACTTCACAGACATTTCAGAAATACATTCACTGACATCAGATCATTCTAATCGATCCCCTGGGCGAGGTCGATCACGGTCACCTGACAGACCTGACACGGCCGACCATCTCCGTCATTCCCCACGACAGATCAGTAATGGCAGGTAAGCAAAACACACATGTGACTGCAAATCAGGAGGTGGCACACACATCAAACATGCCACGGTCATACATCCATACTGTCACCACTTCAACATCATATATCATGTTCACACCCACAGGTTAGTGGATGCTGCATAAGCGCCTTCCACCAGTAATGCATTAATCAATAGTTAAAGGCGTTCCTTGCATAAAACATCACACTCCCCCCGGAGCCATCACCACGGTCAAATATTGCTTTGCTCAGGGAGAAGCACAACAGTAAGATTTGCAAACCAAAAAAATGTGTTTAAACAATCTAGCAAAGCTAAGTTATTTTACACGGGCTTACTCTTGCTTGCTCTAATTAGGACTTCCCTCATTAGTGAACTCTAACTCAGGCTGAAGAACTACACTTGTTTCAATGCAGGATGAAAACAGGTTGCACAAATTTCACCACATTTGAGTGGATATATGTGTAATGTATGAACCTCTATGTATCTCTGAACATTAGTATCATTTTATCTTATTTGTTTGTGTCAAGAAATGAAATGTTTTACAGTAAGTGGATAAAATGGAATTCACATAAGCATATGACATTTTGCTACTCTTTTACATGATGGCTGTAGTTTCTGTAAAAACTCTGGACTTAGATCTAATGCAGTGAGCTGGCATTTGTGGGATTGTTGTTTTATCTCCCTGTGTATGGACAATGTATGGAATTTGACATACTTCCCACAGAGCTTTTCTCCAAGCCCCACTGGTTTGCTTGACTTGATTGGTTGTTAGGCTTTAAGGCATTCTTTTGACCGGGACTTGACGCAGCTCATCAAAACTTGGTTTCATTTCAAACTTTTTTTCCCTGTGAGCATCATTATAAGTTAAGAGTCTGAGGTTTAAACTAAATCCAGATCCCAAGCCATGGTTCAACTGTCAAAGGCACTGGTGTGAGTAGTTATTTTTTTAAATGAATTTTTAAAGCCTATACTCTGTGGTAATTGCCATTTTGGATATAAAGTGCTATTATTACTTTTAGTCAAAGATGTCTTCTGTTGAAAAAATAATTAAATTAGTTAACTTTCTTCTCTGTGCTGTGTGTTATTGTGTGGAAATGGAATTACAAGGATAGAAATTTCTAAGAGCTCATGGTGTGGTAACTCCACCTTTGTCATTAATGGCTGGATTTCCAAAAAAGGATCCTGTACAGAGGCTTCTGTCTGACAGTGTTGGTCTGAGTGAAGTCCTTTTTTAGCTCCATGCTCTCTCCTGCTTATTGTTCTCGTCTGTCTAATGATTCTATTTTAATTGATCTTCACCGTGTCAATGCTTCTTTCCTTCTGCCATTACTATTTATCTTGTGTAACACATATGTCAAACTCAATTCCCGTGGGCTGTCACATCATTGGCCCACCAGAAGCTTATTATGCATATGTTTAAAAATAAGTGTTTATCTGATTATAAGAGTCTATACTTTGGATGTTTTTGGATGGGAAAAACGTAGGGGTCAAATTCTTCTTTCTTAAGTGTAAATTTACATTTGCAATAGACTGTTCCATAGATTTTAACCCTGTTTGATGCACAGTATAGACTGCATTTTTATTTTCTGCCCCTACATACTGTAGCTGTTTGGCACCCATCTCAATAACAAATTCCCCTGCTGTTCTGTTCTGAAAACTGAAATTGCACAGTTGAAGTTTATTGTAATAACATTATGATGAGAGCATCAGAAAGAAGTACAGGTTTATATATAATATTAGTTCCCACATAAGAGGTGTAATCCAGTACACAGCAGAGCTGGGTCTGAGTTCAGAGTACAGTTGGCACATTCACATTCTTTAACAAGAGCTTTTGAATTTAGCACAAGCCCTGTGCCAGCAAACAGTCATGTGATCAGACTGGAATTCAACCATTGTTTCAACAGCAGCTTTCTTCTGTTGAAGACGCACACAGACACACTCGTAGTTTTACCATGTTTATTGTATTAGATTAAAAGGGAAGTGGAACAGAAAGCTATCCTATTGCAACCTTTCTATGTTTTTATTGAAAAACAATTTCCTGGATTGTCAACAAAAACATTTACTTATGATCCTGTAATGTAATAATTAAAAAGCTTTTTAGATCCTGTCAGCATAAATGGAGCTCAAAGTATTACAACTGTCTGGCTGGGAAATTGTTTGCATCCTACACCCTGCGTAGACTATGCAATTAAAAACGAAAAAGAAAATGAGCAGAAATTGAGGATAAAAACCGTATTTTATCTAATAATTCAGCTCTCACGTCAGTAACAATTTATTACATAAATTATGTCCTTTGCCCTGCTATTTTCTCTGCTGTCATCCAGTAACTCTGCATCTGTCTTTTAGAAAGCACACCAATTTGAGTCTTAAACTGTTGTTGTTTACAGAATTGACTGGAACTGTTAATTGTGTTTTGTTTAAGCCATCGAAGTCGAGATGAGGAGCGATCGTCTAAACCAGGGGCCATGTCCACACCAGTCAAAAGCTCTGATGATGGAGTCTTGTCACAGGCCAGTGACCAGGCCAGTTCCAGAGATGACAAGTCCTTGCCTCCACTGCCTGGTACAGCACTCAGTCAATTGTTAATTAGATTACTTGAAAAAACAACAATGTCTCTTCAATGTCAAATTAGTCCAACTCACAAAGACTTTAACCTTGTTTTACACAATATGATAATTTGTACTTGTTCTTGTGACATGTTTTGGGTTTTTTGGTTTGTATAGAACCAAAGCCAGTTTATGCACAGCCTGGTCAGCCTGATGTGGATCTGCCCGTCAGTCCCTCTGATGCCCCTGTACCTAGCGCAGCTCATGATGACAGTATTCTGAGGTAAATAAACCCCCCCACAAAAAGCACTTTAATTAGCAACACTATTGAGAATTAAAATATGAGAACAAAAAAAGGTTGGTCACAACTACCATTCGTATTTTAATTGATTTTTGTCCTCACAGACCTAGCATGAAGTTGGTGAAGTTCAAGAAGGGAGAGAGTGTTGGTCTGCGGTTAGCTGGAGGAAACGACGTGGGAATATTTGTAGCAGGAGTTTTGGAGGACAGTCCTGCAGCAAAAGAGGGTCTTGAGGAAGGAGACCAGATTTTAAGGGTATGTCACATTTACTTAAATATAATATGATATTTTTATCAAACAATATTTGTTGATAAGTCACAGCATTTAAATACTTGTCCAGGAAAGGCTGACATTATTTTAACATTTGTAACATTTACTTTAGTGGGGAAATAAATGGTATTGTGCATGCATAAAGGATTTCTAATCTACTCACAAGAACTACAGAGGAGTAAATAAAATGTACAGTTGTTGGAAGACCTTCACTAATGCCATGTTCTTTTAAAATATGATCCTTTTTAATGCATTTCTCTGCAGACGGGGCGGGGGGGTCTGGGTGTCATGTCAGTAGCTTCTAAAGCAAGATGAAACATTGTTTTCAGTGAACAACATTCTTTGCATATCACATGTATGAGGGTGGGAAGAAAATGTGTTATTTTGCAGAAAGACAAGTAACAGCTGCCCACTCTTAGACAATCAGTATTGAAAGCGATCCCATGGGCAAAATAGCTGTTGAGAATATAGTACAATGTATCTGTCAGTCTGTGAGTCATTCCCAAGCTGTGTCTTGTGTCAAAACTCCAATTGTTTCAAACATGAAAACACAATAGATGTGGTTCTTACTCCTTGACCCCGGAACAGTTGGCTGACTGTGTTAATGAGCACTGAAAACTAACAGTGTTCATGGGACGACGACAAAGCTCTTGATGCCAATATTGGGTTCATTCTGACATGTCACAGCCAAAGACCACACTTGCTACAGTATAACTTTAATCGTCTGTGGTTAACTTTACATTTTTTGTTTGTGTGTGTGTTCTTCCTCTAGACACACGTCAAAAACTACCAAGACATTGTTTTCTGTCGTTGGTTTGTTTCCCTTTGGTCAGGGTGTGCATGTGGAGATAAAGACGTCAGCCCCTCCTGTTCTTGAAAAGAATAAAGGTGTCTTTCAGAGGTTTAGTGACGCAGCCCATGTTTCCTGCTTCCCTTGTTGCCTTACAGGCAGTGTCAATAAACAGCGGTTATTGTATTTAGGACAGCAGCGGGAGATGAGGGGGGTTTGGTCAGTGTAGGTGGGAGTACAGCTGCCTGCTGATCCTGTTCAGGAACAACTATAACATTTGAAACAAAAAGTGTGAGTGTTGTGTTGTGTGTTCGTATGAACTAAAATGAATGACATGTAAAAGTGTTTAGCGTTTGCTACTGGCTAATATTTCTTTGAAAAACGCAACACTTTCTTTTCATATCTGACATACATTTCGTTAATCGGACATCGGTAGAGAGAAAATATGTTGCTGTCCACTTCCTTATTAAACACTGTCCACTTTTTATTTTTCTTTGACCAAAATGTTGAAGTTCAAACACAAGGCAAACCACAATTGACAAATAGAGCTCGTCATCTATTGGGGAAACATGGGCATTGT